CGGGAGAGGGGGGGAAGGCTGTGAGGCAGTGTGCGGGGTGCCTATCTTAGGCTGTGGGGATAAAGGAGGCATAAGGGGCGTGTAGGGCCGGCTCACAGACTCCATTCTGGCCTAAAAGGAGTGTAAAAAAAAAGGGGTGGGAGAGAGAAAAACAACAAATGAAAAGGTTACAGAGGTAAGCTTCGACTGTGTAACCCTTGAAAACCAGGGACCTGGGGCATGTGTGAAGGGGATGCTTAGCTGGTCAGGTGCTGCAAGAGCTGACCACCTGGGGCACCAGTCTGGATGGGGATGGGGTGTCTGCTTCCTGACCTCAGACTCAGCAGCTTCCACACATCCCGTTTTCAATGCCGGGGGAAACCCTGGCAGTAGGACAAGTTCACCTCTCAGTCCAGGTCTGCACCCCCTCAAGCTGTGTGTGAGTGGGCTTGGGCTGCTGGTGGAGGGGCTGGCGGTGAAGGCGATGGCTTTGCCACATGAGTGTGAAAGTGTTGAGCGGGCATGCACAGGAGTGACTGAGCTTCACACCTGCACTCATGTTTGAGTGAGACACTTGCATCCAACATGCACAGAAGTCCAGAACTGCAGGCAATGGGGAGGGGGGGCATTCTTAACACGGGTTTACTGGAAAATACATAAAGAAATGCTTCATAAACATCACAGCAAGAGATCATCAAAATGCCACTCAGAAAGTGCCACAGGAGTGAGGGGACTCTGGAACGTTAGCATCAAGTGAGTGATGGCGAACTGTGAGCTGTCTGGGCACCGGTGGCCCAGATGATGTGACGGCACCTCGTCATTTATTTCACCGAGCCACTCATGCATGACTGTGGTTTGGGGCCTCCTGGATAGAAGGAAGGAAGGACCCTTGAGCTCTCCTTACTCCATTAATAACATTGGGTCCATCTTTTAGGCTCTTTGAACCACTGGGAGGCTCTGGGATAAACACTGGCATTAAACTATGAATGGCATCTAGTTAACACAGAGAACGCTTGGGTCAGTAGGCTCTAGAGGGCTCATTATCAGGCTGAATTCTATTGCTTCTCAGGACACTCAGAGATTTTGTAAAAATAACACACCACAGTACAAGCATTAGTCTGTAAAATTTGTTATAGGAGTCACCCCGGTTAATGTGTTTTCAAAGAACAGCCCCTGACCTTAACTTGGCCCTGTCCTGGCTGCTTCAGGGCTGTAGACCTGAGCTGTGCTGGCCTTCGCATTGGGCACCTGGGACTGAGGCAACAGGGGAAGAAACACACAGAGGGATCAAGACTCAAACAAGTTGTCATCTTTCTTCCTGAACCTGTGTAGTGGCAGATTGTGTTTCCTAACCACATAGCATCTGAGCCTGTGTTCTCTCCGGCCTTTCAGATGAGGGAGTCCCATGATTTTAAATGCACACAAATCACATCAATAATTTGGGGAGCAGGCACAGGGCTTTTCTTTAAAAGTCCAGCTTCTGAGTTGTATAAACCAGCTTATCTAGTGCATATCATCGGCACCAAACGGGCCTGCCCCGACCACAACGATTAAGTGACTGCGACTCACAGCAACTCTACAGGGTTTCTAAGACTGCAGATCTTTACACAAGTACACAGCCTCATCTTTCTCTATGAAGCAGCTGGTGGTTTTAAACCGCCAACCTTGAGGTTAGCAGCCGACTGCTTACCCTACAGTGTTACCAGGGCTCCTTAAGCAGGAAAAGGGAGAGAGAATTATGTCTTCAAGTGTGAGGCTCTGATAAAGCAATGAGACAAAATGCCAGGGCCCTCATTATTTAGGTCATTAGAGTTGATTCTCAAATATTCATTTCTCCATTCTTATGTTGTGTTCATACCTGCACCTTCTCAGAGCCAATCAACCACATTCGCGAATTAAGGAATAAATTGAGGCGAAATAGTCACATAATTCACAATGGTGAATGTGTAAGTGATTCAGACCAAAAGAACAACAAAGCACCCTGAGATTGGGTAAATGCAAACTGGGCAGGCCTGGTGTGCCTGTGGAGTGAGTTTCTGATTACTGAAGAAGCGAGTACAGGCTAGGGCACCCCCAGCCTACAGAACTAGAGGCAAGGTGCTGGAGAACTAGGGTGTCTTTTAACTTGAGCTCAAGAAACTTTGTTTTTCTAAAAAAGAGAAACCTTTTAAAATTTATTTTTCACAATGGTAACTCATGTCTGTCAAGGAGCTCTGGCAGCGTAGTGGTTACGAATCGGGCTGCGAACCTTAAGGTCAGCAGTTCGAAACTACCAGCTGTTCCATGGGAGAAAGATGAGGCTTTCTGCTCCCGTAAAGATTTATAGCCTTGGAAACCCTGTACAGGGTCGCTAAGGTCGGTTCCGACTCCACGGCACATAGCCACCACCACTCTTGTCTGTCAGCATAATTATTCATTCATAGTCTATTATGCAAGGCTTTGGAACCCAGTATTTTAAGGGGATTGATTTTAGTTTAGAGGAAATTCATCAGTATGCAAAGAAATGACAAAGTGCATAAAGATAAGAAATGAATCTGAATCATTTAAACTACTAATAAAGAATCAATAATAAGCCATTTCTCTAGAATGGATTTAGGGCCTTCGCATCATCCAAGTGGATTAAAGGGGGAAGGGAGGGAATTATTTTCTTAAAACTTTGAGTCACTTCATGAAAGAGTTAATTAAGCAAATTGCCAATTTGTTTTTGAGATTTTAAGTCACGAGAGTCAATTTGCAAATACTTCATTTCTGGCAGTAAAGTTAGATCAGCAGGTTTCTGAATTCTTTTCAGCTATTACAGTCAGGAAGACTAGAGATTCAAGAGAGAAGGCTGACACAGGGCAAGACAGAATTCCCAATAAAGAACGCATGAGCATCAACACAAGTGGATGGACACTTAGAGAGGTGCCTGTAATAGTTAAAGCCAGTGTGTTACCTTGCTGGACTCTTGTAACTGAGTGCCTCGCTTCCAGGCTTCAGAGAAGATGGAGCTCACCGTGCTCTGGGATCGGACATGTCCTGCTGGCTGGGTGTCGGAAACTCCACTGTCAGACTGATTAGAGTGATTTGACTGCGACTCTGTTGGAGACAGTTTATTCAGACAGTATGAATCTATCTACTTTAGATAGGTCTTGTTAGACAAGGTCAAATGCTGTGCAAAACAGCAATATGTCAATTTTACTCAACCCAGTAGGCCTAGAAGCTCCTTCTTGTGGAGGACTAACAGAAAAGCTCGGATTCACTTTAAATGGTTCATGAGGAGATTAATAATTATAATAAAAGACTGACATAACATTATTGGTGTCCTGACAACCTATCTTGAAAACAATCAACTCTTAACCAATAAGAGAATAGCTATCAACGGAGTGAATTTTTTTTCAATCAACAATTCATTACATTGAATATCAGTTTTTTTAATGCCTCAAGGCTCCATAGTTTATCTTTACACAAGGTTGGTTTGAATTGCAAGGTCGGTGGTTCCGATCTACCAGCTGCTCCTGGGAAGCCCTATACAGGGTTACTATGAGTCAGAACTGACAGGACGACGGCATTCAACAACAATATACATGGTAAACTACTTCCTTTTGCCCAGCAACAAGCAATCCTGAGACCCTGACCTCTAGCCACAGCACGAACACGCTTCCCAGGGCTCTGGTATAAGTACCAGAGTCACAACCCAGCGGTCACCTGGCCTCCTGATGAACACGCTTCCCAGGGCTCTGGTATCAGTACCAGAGTCACAACCCAGCGGTCACCTGGCCTCCTGATGAGGCGTGGACAAGCACTGCAGGGATCTGAAGCCCAGTGGGAATGGTTGCGAGGAGAGAGTGCAGCTTTAACTGACATCCAGGGCTAGGGAAGTGGGTGTGGCACTGCAGGATAATGTGCTGAACTGCCAGGTCAGTTTAAACCACAAGGACAGTGTTTCAAACCTACCAGCTGCTCCTAAGAAACTCTATACAGGGTCTCTATGGGTCCACTGGATGGCACTTAACAGCAACAGGCCAGCCAGGTAAGACAACCAGGAGGAAGCACCGCTCAATGTCTGCCACCTAGTGGACTCTCAAATGTTAAACCTAACCCCATCCACTCACTCAGTGAGAGAAGACTATTGGATGGCAGCATTCAGTCAGTGTAGCCAGATTAGTGAAAAGTACAGCAAGATAATATACACACAGAAACTTAAAATCTTCAACTCAGGCTCCTTTGGACAAACTTCAGACCATAAACTCTGAGCTCCAGTGATTCCCTGCAAACCCTTTAGATGAGCTCTGGGACCTACATGGCCTCCTGCTCTGAGACTAGACTACTTCTAGCCAGTAAATTTCTACCCCAAATTATACATCAACAGTTGTTTGTGAGCAGTGAGAGTTTTCAATAACCCGGCATTAGGAGTATATATATTGGTCTTCCATTTCAAACACATTTTTAACTAGCCCATGATAGTCTCCCCACCTAGAGTTTTAATAGCACCTAAGGAGTCCTGCTGTGGCACTGTGGGCTAATGCATCAGACAGCAAAGTTGTTTGAACAGCAAGGTCGGTGGTTCAAGCTCACCAGCTACACCTTGGATACCCTATACAGGTTCGCTATGGGTCGGAATGGACTGGACTGCACTTAACAACAACAACAAGGAGCTCAGAGAGTCCTGGGGTGGCACTGTGGGTTAATGCGCCCAACTGCAAAGCTGTTCGAACTGCAAGGTTGGCGGTTCAAGCTGACCAGTTGCTCCTTGGAAACCCTATACAGGGTTGCTATGGGTCGGAGTCGACTCGACGGCACTTAACAACAACAACAACAACAAGGAGCTCTGGTGGTGTAGTGGTTACGAGTTAGGCTACTAATCTCACGGTCAGCAGTTCAAAACTACCAGTGGTTCCACAGGAAAAAGATAAGGCTTTCTGCTCCCGTAAAGATTTACAGCCTTGGAAACCCTACAGAGGGTCGCTGTGAGTCGGAACCGACTCCACGGCACACAGCCGCCACCACCATTGATTATAATTCAGAAATAAGGTACGGCTGTAATTCTTAAGAACCAAACTGAAATAGCAGGTCTCTCAGAGGCCTTCACATTGGTACTTCAGCAGTAAAACAGTGCTTTGAGGCATTTGGACTACCTGGGATGCTAGAGGAACTGGATCCTGATTTAATACTGGAGCTGGACAAGGAAGTCCAATCATACGCCGACTCTGTCCTCTTCACGGCATCTTGATAGTTCACGTAGAGCTGCTTCCCATACTAAACAGAAGGTAGTAAATTATGACATCTGAACTTTACTGGGCATAGAGTATAGAAAGATGAAGTCGGAAAGTGGGACTGATTTCTGTTTATGGATTCATAATTAGTGCCTAGAGTACTTAAGAATTTTTTTAATATCAGTAAATTATAATCCACTCTTTCCCTACCCCCACTCCAAATTCTGAATCCAAGGACAGGTTCTCAGTATTATTCAGGACTAGGCCCCAAATCTGGGTGATAAATCATCACTACTTAAAGCAATTTAATAGAAAAAAAAACCCCCAACTTGGCTTAGACTACACTTTTCTATAGAAAAATCATTACGATGCATTTTATAAAGCCAAAATAAATCATGTTCATGCAACAAAAGCTTTTGTATTTCAGTCCACAGATACTGTTAAAAGTTTATCAAATCACCAAGTAAAAAAAAATGTTTAAAACACGAATTATAGGCCTGACAAAACTAGATCCTGGCAAAACCATGAAAATAAAACAATCAATCCGTTTTGAACATAAACTGAATTTCAGACACAGTAAACCAATCAGCTAATGTTATGGAAACCAAAACCTCACCATCACGCACCTCATTGGTCAATCTGCCGTCAAACCAAACGGAACCTACCTTTGCGATACGGATGCCATTGACCCACAGATGGAGGGTTCTCACATCATCACAACAAAGGTATTTGATGTATTGAGATTTCTTCTGGATCTGTGGATGCTACAAGATTAAAGGCACAATTCCAAATAAGCTCCCTGAAGAACTGAAGGAAAATAAACTCTATCAAACCTAAACATATCCACAAAAACAGTAATGGCTAAATAATGTACAGTTCTTACTGTGGCATAGTGGTTACGAATCGGGCTGCGAACCTTAAGGTCAGCGGTTCGAAATTACCAGCTGCTCCGCGGGAGAAAGATGAGGCTTTCTACTCCCGTAAAGATTTACACCCTCGGGAACCCTGTACAGGGTCGCTATGGGTCGGAACCGACTCGACGGCACTTAACAACAACAACTGTGGTCACAAAGAGTGCTAGGCTGCTAACCGAAAGGTCAGCAGCTCGAATCCATCTGCTGCTCGAAAGATGAGGCTTTCTGCACTCATGAAGATTTACAGCCTTGGAAACTCTACACAGGAGTGCTCTGAGTTGGAATCGACTCAACAGCATACAACCACCACCACTGCCAACACCATAAAGTCAAATTAAATGTTTCTTCAGTTTGTTTTTTAAAAAAGACAACATAAAAAGAAACGTGTTAAATTTTGGTCAAGGTACTCAAGTTAAAACAAACCTTCACATCACAGGAAATTACCAAGTACTCCTTCCACATTTAAAAGAAATAAAGTCCATCAGAGTTAACAAAGTCAGTGGACTTCTCAAGTCTTAAAGACAATGATCAGGAAAAAGCATGTTTAATCCTATTTCAAAGCCAATGAAATCATGTGTTTAACGGACAGACATGGAGTCCTAGTGTGGTGCTGTAGGATGGGCACCAGACCACAAGGTTCATTTTGAACTTCAAGGTCAGCAGTTCAAACTCACCAGCTGCTCCTTGGAAACCCTATACAGGGTTGCTATGAGTTGGAATTGACTCAATAGCACTTAACAACAACTATTTTATATATTATAATTCAAAGGGTGAAGTCCAGTACCCATTCCTTATTAACAACAATCTTATTAGGTCTAAATAGATAAGGACTCCTGGTGTGGCACTGCAGGTTCAAAACTGGCCTACGAACCACAAGATCGGCTGTTCAAACCCACCAACTGCTCCTCAGAAACCCTAAACAGGGTTGCTATGAGTTAACAACAAATGGTATAGCATATACTTCTTTCCTCTAGTACCCTTCCTTACTCCTTTTAAAATCTGAAGAATAAAGCAAATAGAAGGCTTGATGGAGATTCAAACTATTCCAAAATGCCCAATAACCTGCTCTAAGCCTAACGCCAATTAAAATTTGTAGAGTGAGAAAAAAACAGCCAATGGCTTACTTACCTTGAGCACCAGACAGTAGTCTGTGGGTGCCTTGTATTTGTTCCGATAGTCCTGTCCATAGTAAACATTAACATGATCCAGCTGGAGGAAGCACACAAGGTCACGAGACACCTACGATAAAAACACCCGAGAGACCAAATTGACAACAGTGTGTAAAAAACACACAGCTATTACACCCCTCGCAACCGATTCTGGGGAGAAAGATGAAGCTTTCTGTTCCTGTAAATACTTACATCTCAGACCCTAGACAGCAGGGGTGGGTGGGAAACATCCAGCCCATGGGCCGCATAAGGTCCACAAAACAAGGCAAGTGCACTTCTAGCCATACAAATATAGCAGGCTAATTTTTAAGTTGGTAATTTTGTATGACCGGCGAATGATGTTATAAATATTCAAATGGCCCTTAGCAGAACAAAGATTCTCCAGCCCTGCCAACTCAACGGCACCCAAGAGCAACAACAAAAACAAATGAAAACTTCCTAGTTGAGAATCAAAATGGTACTGAAGAGAAATACTATTTTATAGAAAACAACATAACGAGATTCTCAACATATGTTTCTTTAATTCACAGTGTAGCAAAACTGAACCCTGACTTGTTTGGAAAGGTTGACATTATGTAAAGATACTTTTAAAAAACAGGATAGTATATTAAATATTACACAGTGTAATAGAGCTATCTGGGAAGAATAAACACATACTCAGTATTCAATTCCTATAATGCATATCGCAAATACAACGATTCTCAACTGGGGGTTCCCCACTGGTTAACAACCTCACAGGATGGTTTTGAAGACTAGCTCCAATGATAATGTAAAGAGCTTCAAACAGTGCTTGCCACAGTAAACAGTAAACAATTAATTCTATGGTCCTAACCTGAAATATATTACCTAACAAAGAATGAAAATGCCTTTAATCCCAGAAAAGTATTCTACAACTAACTCTCCCATTCACAAACTTTTTGTTAAGAGTCAGAAAAAAAAAAAAGAAAAAAAATCAAATAATAAATAAAGGTTTAATTACAAATTAGGTAAGAGACTTGAGGTGGGTCAACTAAATAAGCAGACAGTGAACATTTCAAGTTTCCTCTTCTTTAGAATAAGGACCTCTGGTAGCTTAGTGGTTACGAGTTGAGTCGGGCTGCTAACCTCAAGGTCAGCAGTTTGAAACTACAAGCTGTGCCGCAAGAGAAAGATGAGGCTTTCTGCTCTTGTAAAGATTATCAGCCTCGGCAACCCTATATAGGGTGGGTATGAGTCGGAACCGACTCCACGGCACATAACCACCACCCCCACTTCTTTGGAATACATCAATAAGTATGTTAGCCTTCTGTGTCCTTGGAGCTGCACCTCATCAGGTCCTGAGTTCCCTGAGCCAATATACTCAGGATTAAAAGCAATTAGCACAACAGAAGGGCCGCACCTTTGCTTTTCCTTTAGGGACATAGTAGATTCCAGATGCTCGCAAGAGAAAATAGCGCTTTTTCCAGGACTTCTTGCCATCCTCCTTCAACCACAGGACTCCTTCAATTTCTGGTACAGTTACAGAACTTCCACCAAAACATTCCTAAAATGCGACGATTTGGAGAGAATTAGGATCCTCGTAGGGCAGCACTGTGAACCACAAGGTTGGCGGTTCGAGCCTACCAACTGCTTCCACAAAGATTACAGCCTTGGGAATCCTATACAGGGTGGCAAGGAGTCGGAACTGAATTGACAGTACCTAACAATGAGAAGCGTTCATGGAAGCTCTAGTATGGCAGTTACAGGGTTGCTATGAGTTGGAAACAACTCGACGGCACACAACCACAACAAGAAGGGTCCTTGAGTCCTTAACAAAGTTGTGTTTACCTCCATAAAAATCATGACATTATAATTAAGCCAAAAGACAAATGTTGTATTCAAACCATGCTGGCTAATTGACCTCAGAAATTTCTATTCTATATGGATGATTTGGAGTTACTTTTGAGTTACTATGCAATTACTAATAAATCCTTTGAGAAGGTTGATTAGTAATGTTAGTCATAAATGGAGTAAGTTTTCATCTACTAATGCTATTTCTGAAGGAAAAACTCACTTAAAATTTCAGCTGAGTTCTATGTAACAGTACTTAAACACATTTGTAAAATGCTAAATGGGTGATTAACCCTTAAATTTAAGATCAATTTTTTAAATTACCAGTTTATATAATACTAAGACAAAAAGCATTTGTTTTATAAAACATTTGAGGCTGAAAGGAATGCAAACAAAACTCAAATGCTGTTAATGGCGCTATCCGTGCTTAAAGGAGCCCTGGTGGCGCTGTGGGTTAGGCACTGGGCTGCTAGCTGTAAGGTCGGTAATTCAAACCCACCAGCTGCTCAAAAGAAGGAGAAAGATGAGGCTGCTCCCACAAAGAATTAAAGGTCCAGATACCCTATTAATACGGTCACTGGGTTTGAATCGACTCAGTGGCAGTGGGTTTGCTATCAGGTTTTGGTCCATGCTTAGATAAAAATCTAGTCAGAAAATCCACCATATATTCGGTGAAAGAAAAAGAAATCCACATTAAACATTAACATGGGACACTTTGAAACTAAAATTTATTATGGTGCTGTGGGTTAATGAGCTGGACTACATGGTTGCTTTGAACCGCAAGTTCATTGGTTCAAGCTCGCCAGCTCCTCCTTGGAAACCCTATACAGGGTGGTTGAGTTGGTACCAACTCGACGGCACTTAACAACAAGAAGACATTAGAGGAAGGAGTCCTGGTGTGGCACTGTAGGATAAGCAGTGGACTGCTAACCACAGGTTCAACAGTTCAAACCCACCAGCCACTCCTTGGAAACCCTATACATAGTCACTATGAGTCAGAACCAACTTGAAAGCACACAACAACAAAATAGAAGAAAAATCAGGAATGACAAGAGGGCGTTAGTGAATTGTAGCGACTATTATGAAAATGTGAGTGCCTAGTTAAGTTCAGACTTTCACACATTTAATTTCTTTCATTTTAGTTTCTGAAATGAGCAAAACCAAAAAAGCCAAAAATTCAATTACTTAAATGTATTATTCTTTAAGATATACATTTCTAAAATGATCACTGTCATTGAAAACGTTCAAGTTATTTAAGTCTCCGGTGTGAAATATTGTGTGAACAGCTAATTACATTCACGCTGTTTTCCTTCTCAGCAGATACCACACCCTTCACTGAGCAGTCTTTCTCCTGCTCGGCAATCCTTAAAAGTTCTTTACTCACATCAGTCCACCAGGAGTCGGAAATGACTCGATGGTGGCAGGTGGAACAGAGCTAGGCAGAACAATAAAATGCTCTGTGGTGGTCTAATACATTCACACAGCTGAACTCTCTCCTGCACGCTAGTCAAGATTATAGGCTTCAACTGTGGAGCACTGATATGCCTGACTTTAAAAGGTGCTTAATACATTTTTTTTTTTTTTTT